CTAATTTGATGCAGAAAGAAAAGAACATGTACAAGTCTTGTACATACTTTTCATAGCTGATCTCATAGGCCTGGATATACCTTAACGTGCTGTGAAAGCAACCACTTCACAAGATTGTCTGTCAGTCTGCAGCTTTCCTTTCTCTACTTACCGCTCTGGAACAAACTGTAAAGTCATTGGAAGGTTGTACTGGTTTTGCTGACAATGAAATACTTTCCCTGGAACGCCCACTAGTTGTTGAAATAAAGATTCTCACCTGTCAGGAAAACCAAGATGTCACCTTCTGGTTCATTTAAGTGGATATCCAATGTCACCTTCACAGCCTGAAAGAAGCAACAAACAAGCCAATATCAGCTGGAAACAGAACCTCACTCTTTCAGAGACCTTATGGTACTAATTATTTCCTGCACCATGCAGAGATGGTGAGAACACAGCAATCCAGCAGCTGAGTCTTGTGGTCTTTAACAGATGACAATCCTACCAAGAACAGAGAACGTAACACAGAGTAAAACAGGTCAGACCTCCGTAACATATGCGGAGCTTCCTGTGTCCCGTGGGCTGAGCAGGTTGCAGAATATCTCCTTTACCGGGTAACTTCTTCCTGGAATGTGCAGCACTGAGCAGTGTCCAAAGAACTCTGACAGCTTGTCTACCTCCAGGGTGGCGGACATCACCACCACTTTCATGTCCGTTTTCCTGCCCGATGGTTTCTTCTGCAGAAATAATTTCTTCAGCAAACCAAATAAAATATCCTAACAAAATAAATAAAAAAAGGCAATTTATGTTAGTTTTTCATTCTTCCTAGAAGTGCCTGATGAACAAAGAAGGGACTGAATTTATGTCATGGATATAGAGAAGACAAAAAACTACATCTTCAGGGCCTAAGCACTCAGAAGAACACCTACACTTAGCCTGGTCATCTCGTAAGAATGAGAATTAGTTTCTAGAATTTAATTAATGTCTCATCAGTTCTTCTCACAGCCTAGAAATGGAATTATTTGCTTTTCATTTTTATACTGTCATGGCCAAGTCAACTAAAAGAAAACACAATTACCTCAGATCAATTAAAAAAAAAAAGTTATCTTCATCCAGTATATATGTTACCTGACTGAGTGGACACCCTCCTTTGTTGTACTACTTATTATTTGGACTTCAGCAAATTTATTTTACTCTGCATTGCAGTGGATTAAAAATCTGCTCCTTTTAGTTAGTTACAGGTGATGGAGCAGTAACTTATATCACTCTAGCTCAATTACTTGCAATACTCTCAGATGCTTGAGGACAGAAGCAGGATGCAGAAAGCATTGTGTCTTTTCCCCAGGCTGACTAGTAGGTTGTTTTCCCTGTTCCCATGGCTCACTACTTAGGACTGTCTGGACATCGATTCCCTGCTATTGCCGCTCTTTGGCTTCCCCACGTTCTCTCTCTCCCACCTTTTGTGTCTGTGACACAAAACAGCCTCTTGAGGACTGAGTGACTCGAGTCTCACTGCTCACCACAGAAGGGTCAGGCTGACATTTGACAGCTTTCAGCACTTAGGTCAGTCTGGATACCTCCATGACCCCCAAACCATAATCTCTTTGCACAGTCATATACACACACCCTGCGAAACGTTAGGCCTTAGAGTGAGAGAGATGTTTCAGGCTGGTTTCTGTTTGTGGCTGTTTTTTTTTTATTTGGTTGGTTGTTGCCTTTTTTTTTTTTTTTTTTTTGAGGGGACGAACGGGGGGACACCGCTGTCCAGCGCCAGCCAACATTTATAGCCAACATGTGTCAAACACAACAGCTACCACAATTTCAACTAGATTACAGGCAGCATCTTATTTTCAGGATACACAGCATGCAACAAATCAAGCAGTGATCCTATGGTCTTAGGACAGCAAAAGGATAAAGCACATCTGTAGAAAGTCAGCCAAAAACCTTCAGAACCATGCTCGTTACCTTTTTGAGCAATAAGAGACACAATATTTCTAGAGGTCCATACAGACAAAGTGTCAGGACTCCTGAGATCTTGTCTTACTGCAGGAACTGACCCACTGTGAAAGATTTTTAGGGAGTCACTTAGCCTGTTCCTTGCTTTGGTAAAACTTTTCTGTCAATAAGTACAGAGGTAATTTCAAGATGCAAACCTCCTACAGAACCTTCAGTTGAAAACAGACTAGAAGGAAAGAGTACCACATCTGTATTATTTTTACCAATGAGTTCAAATTTCCCCTTTACCAATACCAAACAACACTCGTGTTTAAGGTGACACTCACAGTGCTAAGGCTCCGCTCGTGGGCTTCATCCAGAATGATGACACTGTACTTGCTGAGAAGGGGGTCGGCCAAAATATGCCTCAACAAGCAGCCATCCGTCATGTACTTGATGGCAGTATCCTGAAAGGTTCAATTAGGCCTTCAGCTGTCACCCTGATTATTTACATCGATACAGGTCAGATACTCACCCAGCAGACACACGCATACATGCTGGGATTATAACACACAACTTTACCCACAGCATCACAAGTGTTTGGCAACGTTCATCGTGGTGGGGCATGGGAACAGGCTGCCAAGAGAGGCTGTGGATGCCCCATACCTGGAGGTCCTCAAGACCAGGCTGGATGGGGCTTTGGCCAACCTGATCTTGTGGGCGTTATCCCTGCCTGCAGCAGGGGGACGGAACTGGGTGATCCTTCAGGCCCCTTCCAACCCGAGCCATTCCATAACTCTACGATAAGACGTGAGCCCTGTGACAACCCAACCGCAGCTCCACCCCGCCAGGACAGCTTCCCAGGCTCTCACACTTCCACCCAGCATCCCCCGAGCACCCCGCGCTCCCTGCCCAGCGCCCTACCTGTGATGAGCAGTCATCGAAGCGCACCTGGTAGCCCACCACGGTGCCCAGCGTGCAGCCCAGCTCCTCGGCCACCCGCTGTGCCACCGACACGGTGGCGACACGCCGGGGCTGGGTGACACCGATGGCCCCGTGCTCGGCCAGGCCTGCGGGGAGAGAAATGGGGGCGTCAGGGGGCTGTGAGGGGCTGGGGGGGCTGAGGGGGACTGGGGGGGGCTGAGGGGGACTAAGGGGGGCTGAGGGAGCCTGGGGGGGACTGAGGGGGAGCTGAGAGGGGCTGGGGGGGGCTTAGGGGAGCTTGGGGGGGGGCTAAGGGGGGCAGAAGAGGGTCTGGGGGTCTAGAGGAGACTGGGGGGGCTGAGGGGAAGCTGAGAGGGGCTGGGGAGGGACGAAGGGGGGCTGAGGGGAGCCGGGAGGGGGCTAGGGGAGACTGGGGAGGGTCTAAAGGGGTATGAGGAGGGACTAAGGGGGACTAAGGGGAGCTGAGGGGCCGAACTCCCCCCATCCCTCCCCCGCTACCCCCCCCCCCCCAGGCTCCCGAGGGACTCCGGGGGGGGGGACGACGGGGTCTCCCCCCGGTCGTTACCTGCCTCGAAGAGGTACCGGGGCAGCTGCGTGCTCTTGCCGCTGCCCGTCTCTCCGGTGACGATGAGGAAGGGCTCCCGGCTCACCGCCTCCACCAGCGCCCGGCGGTAGCGGCGGATGGGCAGGCGGCCGCCCTCCATGGCGGCGGGGGGACCCCCGCCCGCCCCCTGCCCCCCGCCCGCCTCCCCTCACGCGAGCCCCGCCCCCTCGGTGACGTCACCCCCCCGCGCGGGAGCGCCGCCGCCGCGCGCGCAAAGGTGACGCGACGCGGCTCGTCGCCCCGCCCACCTCCTAAACCACGCCCACTCCTCTAAACCACGCCCACTGGAAGCCCGCCCCCTCTCCACACAGGCCCCGCCTCTCCCCGTGTAGGCCACGCCCCCTCCTGTACAGGCCCCGCCCCTCACAGCCCACCTCCCCCCCTCAGGCAGCCCCACACAGCGCCTCACCCCCCCACCCCGCCTCCTGTACCCAAAATGGTTGGTTTTTACCCCAAATCGCCTAGGGGCCTGGCAGGGGTGAATTACAGTGTGAAATCAGAGGGACTGCAGCGGTTCCCTCGCAGTGCCTGAAATACCCCCTCGCCTTCCCCGGGGCGTAAGGAGGAGGTTCGAGGGAAAATGGCTCAAAACCCCCAAATGTCTCTCAAAAGCACCATTCGGCCACACCAGGCCTGGCATTTCCCCGTAACGACCGAATTCAGGCATGGCCTGAAGGTGGCAAGCGATGAACGCTGAACACATGAGGCCAGGCTGCAATCCCAGTCCCCAGACTGAGCATGGCTGCGACAAATTCCTGCCAACGCGCAATTTCTGCACCGTGCTTTGTCTGCGCTCTGACATCCTTTCCCATATGGGCCCTGAGGGTGTCAATGTTTCACCCTCCACTGGGGTGAGACCCGCACAGATGTTAATGGTTCACCCTCCGTTGGGGTGAGAGCCGCGCCGTGCGTTTGTCCTGGTGTCAGCCCGAATTAGGCCACCTACTGACTCCATTTACTGCCAGCTGCCTCCCTTCGTGCCTCTGACACAATGGGAGAAATATTCACCTGCTGGCTCAGGCCTCAGCGCGAGGGCTGACCAGGAAATGCTTGCGAAGCACTCTAGACCTGGGAAAATATTACCTCAGTCCCCACGGTTGCCAGATTCAGATATTTCTAAAGCCTATAAATATTTGTTTAGTCTGTCTAGAAACCGGCATGGTAAAGTGGTGGCAGGTAAGATGTTTTCTGCCCTTCCTTATTAATACAGCCAGAGAGAAGAGGTCAGTGCAGGAAGCGTTTCATTACAGTACTACAGCTACAAAGGATACCTGGTGTTGTGTCCCTGGGTTTATTACTCTGAGGGGTTTGCAACAATCTTTGCCCCCCACAAAATAAATAAATAACAGCAAGACAAATCCCTTCTCCAAAGCTACAAAAACTGTCCACCAGCTGCTGACAAACAATGAAGAGTCATACTTTGGACAGCATTTAGGCGTTTAGGCATTCTGCTGGTACAGATCTGCCATTTCTGTCTGAGGCTGACCTGTAGCAATTACTGACAGTAACTTCGATGCTGTTCTGTAAGCACAAGAAGCACATCAGCCTGGCAGTAAGATGGCTCTAACCATCCTATAGCTCTGATCACTTAGGTACATAGTGGAACATGTCAATCTGCTGTATGCTGTTGCATCCCTTTGTGAAAGCGTATCATATTTATTTCCTCACAATGTACTAATGCCGTGTTGCCGCTAGTAACTTGCTCAGTTAATGGTGATCATATACACTGCTTTACTATTTCCTACTGGAAACTTCAAACACACTTTTTGGTAGTCTTTTACTGATAATTTTTATTACATTATTATATGGTTTTCATAGATACACATGTATATACGAATGCATGCAGACATGCACATTCTACTTGATTCTATTTAAATCACATACTGCTTTTGGCACGCACAGGGGTAGGTAAGGTTTTTCAATTTTCTTTTTTTGTCCTCCTAGCCTGGGAATAGCAGATTTGGGTTTAATCAGCCTCTTTGCAGTCCTGAACTTTGCCCTCCCGGAATACAGTGCCATTCATTTAAGGATTTCCCTCTGTCTAATAAACATTAATGAATCACACTCTACAATTCCCTTGTGATGTTATCTTGGTTTCACAGATGGGGAAAACAGAAACAAATTAAGGGGTCTGCGCACACCACAAATCAAAGGCAGAGCTGGGAGAAGAACCCAGTAATCCCAGCACAATTCCCTGCTCTAATAACTCTGTAAAAATGCATCTCTACCCACACAGCTGCTCTGTCAGTAACTGTGCTACACAGGGTAGCATGGTGACTTTCAGGCTAGCCAGGAAGACTGAAATTGCTCTTTTCCTAAGGTTTAGCTTTACACATAATTGCAAATTACATGTAAAGGTGATAGAGGGCTGCAGCTCTGCCAGCTTCCTGTACTGAATTACCCCTGAGGATGTCTTTTTTCGTTTCTGAGCAGAGGATATCTTTTCTCTTCTGATGTGCAGAGAGATAACGGGATATGGTGAATATTCCAATCCCTTGTGGTACACAACAGATTTATTGCTCTTCCCAGAGGAGAGGCCCAGGTTCCTGAGGAATTTTCTTGTCCTTACTCTGGACAGAGCAGTCCGTTCCACGATGAACATGGCATCCCTTGACGCTTGTGAAGGAAACCACATCTATTAATTACACTGAGCAAGTGAAGACCGGTAATTGCTTTGTGCCCATGGAAAGTAGGGCCACATTTTAGAAGAAAGATCCCTGAGCTTTAATTTCACTACTGACAAAGAGCATAGCCCGAAGTTCCCACAAGCCGTGCTCCTGTCAGCCGACCAGCAGTTCTTCTGTCAGCCAGGATTTCTGCGGCACTGGCTCTGAGCTGTTATTGGAAAAGCGTTATTCTTAAAACAGAGAATGAAGGTGTTAGACACAGCGAAAAGCAAAACCCCTTTACACTGCCATCTGCTATCTTAGAATGCCTTGCCACAAAACATTTATGAATTGACAAGTTTTATTTCAAATTTTCCTCCGCTTGTTACAGATCGCTTCTTTCTGAAGACAGGATCAGATGCCTTAGCCTTTCTCCTGCACACTGAATAGATCTGCCTGGTGCTTAGTTCCACAGAAAACAAGAGCCTACAGTCTGCAAGCACAGCCAGGTTACTCAGAGACGCCTTCGCAGGTTTCTGCTAAAAAATACTGCAGGGAAGGAGAATGGGGAGGCAGCACTGTGCAGTATGCACTGAGGCCTGTGCCTGCCTGAGGGCACCTGAGGTTTGCCTGCTCATGGCCACAGCCAGGATCTGGCCCGCAGCAAGACACAGGTGCAGGATCAGGTCTCAACACCCCAGCTCTGCGAACATTTCTGCACAAACCTTGCTGTGCTCAGTAGAAGAGACCTGGCTTGCCCACTACAAGCCCCGACTGTTTCTCTTAAAACCCTGTTTTCTTTCAAGTTGGTCTATGACGGGCCAGCAATTAATTTTGTTAATTTACCACCCTCACACGTACTCCTGCATCACCCTTTTTAAATTTAACCACAGTGTCAGACGTGTCAGACCCGCAGCTGTTTCCGAGGCCGCACACAAGTGATTGCTGCTGCTGCTGCCAGGTGCCAGCGTGCACAAAAAGGTCACGGGCCGGAGGATTCGGCATGGCTCAGCTGTCCTCATTCACACACAAGGCACAGTCTGTCCGTCCGTCTGTCTGCCTGCTCATACACAGCAGGCAGGTGAGGGGCTGAATATTGGGAACGATCCCATGGAAATCGTACAAGCCACGGGCCTCCACCTGAAGCATTTCCCTGACTCCAGGCCTGTGGTACCTGTGGCACTGGAAGCTGATGGTGATTTTAGGAATGCCTCACACCTACACTTCTGTTACAGCCTGTGGGAGGCTTCTAATCTTTCTGTGTACTAGGCATGATTATTGTTCTCCTGACTTCCTTATCAGATGTGATAAATCAATAATTTACTCTACGTTCCCATTAGAGTGCACCACAGCTATGATTATATTTATTCTATGAGTGTAAAGTAAGCAGATATCCTAACCTGTCTTGGAATTGTCTTCTTGTGTATGTGGCAGCACCTCCTACCACACAAAGTAGTTTTATTTCCCCAACTGTTCAATCTAGGACAAAACACTACACTTTTGTTCTATATTAGGACTGCAGCACAAAGGCAGCTGACTGGTTTCACCAACTCGGTGCTCACGGAGGGGACTGTGGAGGACAAGTTAACCCCTGGCCTGAGCTTTTCTCACAGCAAGTCATTAAGAAAAGCCAGATCTCCTCCATGCTCTCCCAAAATCAGGTGGTGATGAGCTGCATGCACCCACTGCCTTCCTCCTCTTCCCATGACCCACAGGGTCAGGTCCATCTTCTGCTTCTTTCCGCAGCCTGGCTTTGGAGCTTCTTCTCCCAGTGTGACAGGGTCTCCCCAGAACCCTTGGGACATCTTTTTGGTCGAAATTCCCCTTATTGCTTCCTGTGGTTGCCTTCATGACATGTTTTCTGGGCCACCATGAGCAGCTCACAGGCTAGGCCCAGCCACCATTGAGGTGTCTCCTTGCCTCAGATGCGGCCTTCAGATCCAGAAACAAGGAAATGGGCCTACCAAACAGACCACAAAAAACTTGTATTTCATCTGTGATTCTATGGAGCAGAGGTTGCATTATCCAATTTGCTCTTGTCCCCATGTTTAACCCTTCAGTATCATCAGCTGTGGATGTCCACAGCACCCAGCAACAAAGGCAGAGCCTACGACAGCCACACACGTCCCGCTAATGGCTTCGTTCTTCCACCAGCACTGGAAAAAAACTAAAACAAAACCAAATCCCCAGCCCTGCGTAATCGTGGCCCTGTTATTCATAGATCTTAAATTGTACTCCTTCATGAATTTTAATGTGCAGTCCATTTTCTCTCCACTAATCCTACATTAGGCTGGAAGCCTTTAAAGACTGAACATTTGCCCTCCTTAGCTCTTTATTCCCTGCAGCATCGCAGCGCGGTGTCCCAAGGCATTGCCCTTGTCGCAGCTGGTCTGGCAGCTAGGCTCAGTGACATCAAAGTGCTTCCTTATTAGATACTCCCGTTTCGTGCACCCGTGACAAAAGCAGCTGGCCTGTTGAATAGACACCCTGGGAAGAGCAGCTTATGTATTTTGTCCATGATCTGTTGGCATGGATATGAGCTGCGCAGCACATTTGAGATAACACCTGCTTGTGAATCTTTAACTCTGCGCTTCTATAAATCTCTTCTTCTAGATAATCTCCACAAGGCACTGGGAACCAGTGAAAGTCCCCTGGGAAGTTCCCCTTTCACAGGAATTGCAGAATTACTGGGTTGTTACTGGTAAGTGACAAAGCACAGTCAGTTGCACACCGACACAGACCGAAAGGTGCTCAGCAGCCTTATTTCAAATGGCATTTAGATGTGAAAGCCAGACAACCCCATTAGATACTCTAATCTGACCTTCAGCAAAATGCAATCTGAGCCTGTTATTTCGCTACTAAATTTAGTAATTTGTTCAGCGGAGGTGATTCTTCCAGAGGGAAGATACCGAGGCTTGGTTTGAAAAGACGACGAAGCAACAGCTTCGTGTGGCGAGCCAGCCGAGTAAAACACTCTGCCAGTCCCGCCCCAAGAGAGACAGTCTGCAGCAGGCCAAGGCAAGGTGTGCTCTTCTGCAAATTGGTAAGGATATAGCAAGCCCTTCCGTGAGTCTCACAGAGCCTTGTGAGAGGAAAAAGGGATACTGTAAGTTCCTCAACTATAAAGCTCTAAAAATACAGGATCTTTGATGTATAAATGCATGCTAAGGACCTTTTTGGCCCTGCCTGCAAATGTTCCCAATTCCCACTAATTTCACTTTGCTTGCAGAACCAGCAGTAATATTCCTTTTCTGAGATATACAGAACATACTCGGTATTTTAATGATTCTGGCCCTGGGGATACTTTGCGCCACACAACACGCGGGCACAGGCAGAAATGAATCTGACTTAAAATCTGATTTGATTTAAACAACACTGACCTTATGAGAAGTGTGGAGTCCGAACCAGGCCTGCAAATCCCATCTGTTTCTTATTTCTATAATGGGCAACCTAAAACCCTAAATCCAAACAGCTCTGAGCTTTGAATCCAAATTTTGCAGCTTGAGTCCATTACTAGCAATGACGACTGCTAGACCAGCACAGACTTCCTTCTTAAATTGTACACCGTGATTTATAGCACGACATTAAGCGAAGGAGGCGTACAACAGGTTGGCTAACAGCTAATCTGAAAGGTGCTTGGAGGCAGAGCCATGGGCTGCTGGATAAGTTGACTACATATTTGGTCCCCATAAAATTGTTATCACACTGCTCTTGTGCTTTAGTGGTGTTTTCAGGGTTAACGGATGCTTGAGAACCACTCAAATGTTCCTCTGCTATTAGGAGCTAATGAAAACCTGTGCTATCTCAGCATGTAGTGTTATATTAAGTTACAGGTTTTGCTGTTTTCTCATCTTTTCTCTCTAGATAAAGTGGAATTTGTTGTCAGAAAGAAGATGTAATCTGTAAAGCAAGCATCTCTTTAGCCTTTTATGAAAAATAAAAGAGCGGGTATTCAGAAAAATCCTTGCCTCTGTCCTTTAATTCAGAAGAACAAAGATGGTGAAGGCTCTTCTCTGAACATGAGATGAATTTGCCAATACCATTCCCATTAGCACAGAATAAACCCTTTAAATATATAATGGCCTGAGTACAATACAGATTAGAAAAGTAAGTGTGGAACTGTAAGGGTCCTAATTATTTTTCACCCATCCACCTTTATATTAAACACAAAGTTTTGATGCTTCCCCAGATGCTGGGTGAATTATTGAATATTTTAAGTGATGCTGTGTTTATAGAGCTGCAATTACTCAGTATCTGCCTTTGTTTGGAGAAGAATCCCTGTCCCTCCTTGCTAATGGCTTCTTCTGATCTCATCCGATATGGAGGATTTCCTGGGCATATTAAAAACATTATTCACTCTGCCTTTTTAGCTTAGCCAAAAGATTTAATGACTTCAGCATCAGAACTGTCTGTTTCGCTCTATTTGATCTAGACTTACTCAGTGATGACCAATGCTGAGCACTGTGCTTCCCCCATATGTGGAGCTGAAGAACTGAAGGAGATCTTTAACTGGATAGACTACAGATTATTTGGGGTAAGAACTCGAGTACTTAGCACAGCTGAGCTGTACTTCCAGGTGTCTGAGGCACTCAGAGGTTTGTACTGCCTTGTCTCACTGCCAGGGCTGGGGGAGCAGTAGCTGTTTTTTGCACAAGGGACCTTTGTGCTTTACCTGGGCTCCCCGTTACATAGCCCAGCTAAAGCCTGACCCTCCTGAGACCTTGGTGGTGCAGTGCTGGATCCATCCTGGGCTGGATGGAGCAGGTACCTAAGTCCAGGGCGTCTTGCACTGTGTATGAAATGCTCTGCAGCAAGCTGCCCTGTAAGGGTGTCTCTTGGTGTTTGTGCACAGTCCAGGTTTCCTGACTTAAACACAAGCTTCTTGAGTGACATTCCAAGCCTAAGCAAAAACCACAAAAAGCCAAGGAGAAATTCAGGCCTGCTGCTCATATGTCCCTTAATCTGGAAAAGCTCAGAAATACAATTCCCTGCACCCTGAAGCAGAACGAAATGACCTTGAAAGAGCAGCCTGTGTCGGGGATCAGATCTTTTTGCAGCATATGGGATTCCAGTTCAGCCTCTCACAGGCACTGCAGGGCAGCACCCTGCCCCTCTGGCACCGCCAGGACCACCGGCACTGGGCTTCTTTCCAGAGTATTTGCCACCTGAATCTGTCACTCACTCCAGGATTTAGAACGTCTCCATCACATTCAAACCCAGGGTAAACCGCGTTGCTGCTGATGATTTCAAATCTGTTCTTTTTTTCCCTGTTCCCCTGCATTTTGAGATGTTTAGTTGAGATGCAGCACCAGATAGACTCCAGTAAGCTGGTTCATGATGCATTAAAAAATCAGAATTCCTGCTTGCTGGTCCCACCCCTTGCAGTGCAGGACACTGCCTCAGCACACCGCGTGCTGTGGATTTCAAATCACTGCCGAGTGCTGGGGGATGTGGTCAGATTCCTGTTTGTCTTCTGTTCCAAGGCACGACCAAAAACAAATTATTGTCATATTTCCCCTTTCTTCAGTGGCCACCCACATGCTTGTGATGCTGCAGCAGTTTTACACAGCACTGCAGGGTGAGCAAAACCAAACTGCAAGCACGACGCACTTATGCATCTGTGCGACTGAAAATCCATCCATCTGTAATAATTTCCACATGAAAAGCTCATCAGACACATCTACCACACGCGTTAATAACTCACACTAGTGCACACTGACAGAAATACTGATTTTTCCCTAATTACTTTTTTCTGCCTCGAAATATGGTTTCCTCTGCTTGCTGTGAATTGATCTTTTCACCCCATCTACTTAGCAGATCTACAATTTACTATTCAATTAACATTTCACGAATGAGACCAGTTTGTGATGCAGTCACCCACTCCCAGCATGAACTACGGTTTTATGCATTACCCTGGCACCGCTCTGCAATCCCCCAGGGCAGTCTTGCACCTCTTCTTCTGATGTCCCCCCCCAAAAAAAAACAAACCAAACCAAACCAAACAACAAACAAACAAAAAACAGTGCAAAAACAGGGAGAAATTATTAAGGAAAAAAAAAAAAACCTGGGAGCTGGTGGGCTGCAGGTAGAATTTCACCTTCATAAAATGTTACAGCCAGGAGCAGGGCACAGCACGGCTGGGAAAGGAGCATCCTGTACCCGGAGGCTGGATCGCAGTGCACAGCTCAGGGCGCTGCCTGTCGGGCTGGGAAGCATCAGAAAAGCACCGGCGACGAGCAGAAATATGGCAAACACGATCCATGCCAAGACTGGAGGAGGAAAGGCTGGAGAGAGACATGGAAGCAGTCTTCAAATATGTAATAAAGTGGAAAAAAAAAAAAAGATGCAAAAAATAAAGCCAAACCCAAGTGGCTGGCCAGGACCAGGAGCGGCAGCTGCAGCTCACAACATTTCGGAGCCCTGGGGAGCCACCATGTGCCCCCTCCCCCCCCCCAGCAGGCAGCTCCCAGCCCCATCCCAATTAACCGTCTCCTAATGACTTTCAGAAGCGTGAGGATTTCCTTAATTATACCACGCATTAGACTGTAATCAAGAAATCCATCCTCGCCGCCGCCCGAAGCGGGGCCGCTCACGTGCAGCCCGTGGCAGGCGGGGAGAGGCGAGGTGGCAGACCCCGGCCAGGAGGGATCAGGCCCGTGTGTGGCAGCCACCAAGCTGCAGCAGCCACCAAGGAGCCCCCGGGCTTACGGGTGTGCAGTAGCAAACCTACAGGAACCATCTGCGGTGCAAATCGGGTGTGGTGTGTAAAATAGGGGCGAGGAATGAACACGTTTGGTGTTTTTACAGATGCAAAGCCCGGGATGGAGGCAGCATCGCCTGCTTGTGCGAATGTCCTGAACAGAAATAGAGATCACTGGGCTGCTGCAATCGGCTCTAGGATCAGGCTCCACTCACGGTGTCTGTCATCCGACAGAAATAGTGTCTAATTAAATATTAACCTCTGCATTCACCAATGACACCTGCACGGGGTGATCTTAAAGGACGCCAAGCCCCGTGGCCGCACACCGAGCCCAGGCTGGGTGCCTGCGGGGCACAGTCCTGTGCCCTGAGTGGGCTGCTGGGGGCGTAGCAATTAAAAAGGTAGGGAGATCAAATGTTTTCAGTCCTTTGATCTCCAAGTGTGAAATCTGTGGGTTGCTTCCCAGGCAGGCTGCGTCTCCAGGCAGAGCAAGGGAGTGGGAGAGGAGAAGTTGCCCTTCGCTGCTCACAGGAAGGGTTTTTGTCCGTAAAACACAAATATGGGAAGCAAAGATGTGATGCAGCAGAAGGATTCAAGGATTCAAGCTAACGAAGTGGGGCAGTGGGAGGGAGGGAGACGGGGCCGACTGCTGAGCTCGCCGGTGCCCACGCAGTGATGAGGACGTGGGGCGGGAGCTCAAGTACCTGCAGCACTCGGGAGATGCTAAAAATAAAAAGCAGCTGCTAAAAATAACGAACGATCAGGAAAAAAAACGCTAAACCCCAGAGATCTCCTGAACTCCGAGGATTAATTTTAATTTCCCTCTAATCCGGGCAAAAATAGCGACGTCGGGGGGCACAGCTCAGCCTGAGGAGGGCTCGCGCTGCCCTGCACGTCCCCAGCGCAGGGCTCCGGGCGCATCCAGACCAACGCTGCCTCTGCCCACGGCCACAGGGCCCCAGCCTGGGCAGGGCTGGGTGCTCTGAGCTCGTTTCATGCTACGAGCTCAGGCTGGGCGAGGGGAAGTGGCCAGGTGTCTCAGGTTATGGGCTGCACTTTTTAAAAATGAGATTTACTGGCACCTTCAGCATTTATTGGGAAGATGACTGATTGGAGAGATATTTGCTATTGTCTTCCAAAGAGACATAAAAACTCATAGTTCCTAAAATCATTTTTAACTCATTGGACATCTCCCTTGCTGCGGGGAGCACTGCTGGCTGCAAGCGGAGCTGAATTTGCCTTTGGTGTTCCCTGAATCACTGCACACAAAAAGCTGCGGCGCCTCCTGGCACGGGGAGCTCTGATTTGGTGCAGGGCATAAATACTGGGGAGAAATGGCAGCATGCCCCGACGGTGCCTGAATCCCTCCCCACGTGTATGGCCCAGGGGGGGTGGCTGAGCATCAATAAGCAGAAACATCGCTCCCACCTCACCGACTGCCTTCAGATGTATGCAAATGTGTGCAAACAAGGGTTTGCCCAGGATTTTGCTTGGTGTGGGTGGGCACAGGGGGCAGGAGGACGTACTCGGGGCTGTTTGCACACCAGGGCTCAGCGATGTTTTCAACACTGAGAGCCCCTGATGAGATACAAGGGCCCATGGTCTGAGGTGTGATTTATATGCGACAGCACATAAACACCTGGAGCACGGGCTTTAGAAAGCTGTGGGGCACGGCCGCTCCTTGCACAGCCTCACACAACCCCCCCTTTTTAGTTTAGAGAAAAATAAAAAACCCAATCTAAGCAATTCCACACAAGCCTGCTTTAAATGCGCTTTCAATTCGAGAGTGACCAGAGAGGTAAGTAAATATTTTTCTGGAAAGGAAATTACATTGTGAGCACACTGAATGCTGTTTGCCGAAGCACTGCCCGGAGTCCAGCTCCAGCCTGCCTAATATTTACCCAGCTGGAGCAGCGGCACAGCAGCGTTTGGCAGTGCCAGGCGTGCTGCAGCTGGGGAACTCAGCATTTATACCTGTAGGAAGCACTGTGCTTTCACAAGCTGCAATGCACAAGACCCAGCAGCTGTTTGTAGCGAAGCTTGGGAAGCTGCGAGCCTCGGACAAGGGGCTGCTGTGGTGCTTCTGCAGCAATTCAAGGAAAAGGTGGATTAAAATTATTAGATGAGTTAAAAATGGTTTTAGGAACTACTAGATTTTATGCCTCTTTGGAAGACTACAAGCAAAGGTTTAAACCAGGAGGGCCCAACCCTGCAGCCCACGCAGGTCAGAAAGCCCACGGGGGCTCCCACCCCTGGTAGCAACTAATTTACAGGACCCTGCAAGCAGTGCCCAAAGTCTATAAATATTTTGCTTGGGTATGGACAGGGCAAACACTCGCTGCCACGTCACCGGTCTGGGCGACCCCTCGCTGCAGTGCCCGCGACGCCTGTGCTCGCCAGCCTGGGAAGGAGCAGGAAGCTCTGACCTCCTCCCAGCAAGGGTCAGCGCTCAGCTCCATGCACTTTGTGCACCAAAAGCCCCTCCAGCACCCTGGGAACCGCAGAGCTGTGCCGTGCCTTCTGTTTATCATTGACCAGAGCAGTGTTTTAGCCTGTTTTGGCAATTTCAGCTGTAACCTGGAGCATGTCGAACTCCACAGTTTAAATACTCGCTCCTTGCTTAAGCAGCCGGCTCCTTTTTGTCCTGCCCTGACCACGAGCACCCCGGAGTGGAATTGAACAATGCACGAACAAAAAGGACAAGCAGGAGATGGAGTATGTAAAGGTGCCCGACACCAGTGGGCTCCTCACCCTGGGCCAGCTCCTGCCCGCAGCACGAAGCCGCTCGCGCTGCTCTGAACGGGTGCAGCGGGAGCACCTGGGGACGGAGCAGGGATAAGGCACAACCAGGTCCTGGCCCCATCAGTGTGGCCGGGGGACACTGCCCCAGTGCCCCGGTGCTGAGCCCCGTTTCCTTGCGGTGCAGCTGGGGGCTCTTCAGACTGACAGGACACGCTCCAGATCTGCGCCACCAAGCCTCTAATCAGCTTTCACCTGGGATTAGCCCAAATGTTTCCAGTCTCTGGTTCAAAATAGGTCTTCTCGCTGTTGGGCAGCCGATCTGAAGTAAATGCTCCCCTCCATCAGCCAACATCTCCAGCAATGGTTTTGCCCTGAGGCTTGAATTTTGCCTGGGTCCCAGATTTTTTTGGATGGAGAAGCTGGGACACGGGATGCAGATGTGGGTGTTGAGCCAGGCTGCAGTGGGGACCGCAGGTATAAAGAGCACGGCCAGCCCGCTTCAAGCTGAATGCTGCAGGCTGGGGGAGACAGATTTGGCAGTAGAGCCGGAGCTCAGGAGCTCACGGAGCAGGGGCTGGGCCCTGTCCCATCCCCCTGCCGCAGGGGCAGCCCATCGGGGTGTCACAAAGCGAGCCGAGCTGGCAGCTCTGGGGGACAGCCAGAGACAACCACGACATTGGGCTGTTCACTCAGCCAAAGGAGTTGCTCTAGACCCACTGTTTGTTAAGAAAAGAAATCAAAAATATTATTATTTTTTGGCTTTAAAAGCATTATTGGATCCTACACTTTCACATAGCCTGTCCCCAACCTGTGAAAAATCTGGGCTACACCATGAAGCCAGCGCTTGTGCACGCTGTGGTTTGTCCGTCTGTCCGTCAGCAAGAGATCATCACTGCTCAACTGCTGTGGAAGAAGGAAGAAGGCAGCTGGACTCTCCCCGAGTTTGGCTGAAGCTGCCGGGAACAGGAGAAGAAGCAAGGGGGGGAACCACGGCCCCATCTGCAGGGCAGGAGCCCCAAGAGCAGAGCTCCCAAAACACCCCCGGAGCAAGCTGACAGCCCCGGGCAGGGGATCTGGCCTGGGCCAGGCCACGAAACCCCTCCTGGGATGGGGCTCGAGGTGCAGAGCCCGGCAGCAGCCGGCACGAGCAGCCCCGATTCCCCTGTGAAGCACCAGACCGAGGGGCCGGGGAGGCTGCAGTGGGCACAGCTGCCTTTCCTCAGGGCTTCCTCAGGCCCGCCGGGGAGGGGCCCTCGATTTCTGCCCCGAAACCTTCACAAAAATAGCACAATTATGGGAAAAGCCTTGTCCGAGTGGAAAAGAAAACACCAGCCCGAGCCTGATGAGGAAGCAGAGCTATATAAGAGCACGCTCCTATATTTTTCTGTTATTTCTGTAAAGCATCCAAACACTTGTGCAGAATTTCTTCACCGAGGGCACACGTTTCCACAGGGCGAGGCTGGGCCCCTGGGGAAGCCTTTTTAAATTTTTTTCCCCCAGCTTTTTCCTTTACCTAAGCAGAAGTTTCCATACAAGGAGAACAAATCGAGGGGCAGCTCCCACCGCGGCTGCCTGGGGCCTGAGCCACGCGTAACGGGGCGCTCTGGGACGTCACCGCCTTTTATTTTTGTACCGAAAACAGTGGAATTTTCAGCTGAACCCAGAATTTCAGAGGAAGCAAAGTGTTTTCTGTGAGAGAGAGAAAGAAAAAAAAAAATTTCAGCTTTTAGTGGTTTCTCACAGCACCGTTCTGCTTTTGACGTCTTCCCTATCTCAACACCAGCGCCAACATTTTTTGGAGCCTGCTCAGAGCGGCTCCGAAGCGCCGTGGGTGCAAGGGGCTGATGCTGCCCTGATGCTCCCAGCAAAGGCTGCTGGTGCCACCTGGCCTTGCTGGGCACCAGCACTGCCCTGCCCCAAAACCCGCAGCAAGAGGCCGAGGAAACCTTTCTGGGGGCGGCCGCCCTCCGGGTGACGTCTCCATCGCAGCCAGGCTGCATCCACGGCGCGTCTCTTGGCCTCGCTGCTATTTATTCCCCAGGCTGGAGCTGGGTAAAAATATCCCCGGCGTTTGGCAGCCTGGAGGCGCTCCTGTAAATCCTTCCTGTCAGCACGAAAATGCCCTGGCTGGGGCAGGAGCAGTCAGCCCCATGGGAGCAGCAGCCAAGGGCACGGCCGATGGTGGAAAGTTAAATTTTGGGAAAGGGGCTCGGGATGGGGGGACGCGCACCCTGAAGAGGGGTTAAGTCATTGAGGGTCATAAAGTGTGAGAGGGAGAGGAGGAGGAAAGGGGATGGGGTGTGCTGATGGCAGGGCTGCCACCCGCAGCATCCCCTCCAGCACCCGCGTCCCAGCGGGAGGGCAGGAGCCACGCGCGGTGTCCCCGTGTGGTTCCCCAATAGCAGCCACCCCACCCCGTGATCCGACTGCTCCTGCCCCAGGATTGAAAGCCACCGGCGCCGCGGTATTTATAGCTCCGTGATTGTCTTCTGAAAAAATCATTGTGACTTCGGGCTCTGACCGGGGCTGCCCGCGCTGAGCCGCGTTTCTCTTTATAGCCCGTCCTCCGGAAAGGTCGCAGCGGCCCCAGGGAATGGAGGTGGCCCCGCGCCACCCGTGGGTGCTGCCTATAGGATTTCTGCCTCCATCTGCCTGTTTCTGGGCACAGAGAGCCGGGGAGATCCTTTTGGCTTCCCCAGCAGCCCGGCAGAGCTCTTTGTGCCCGTTCGGAACCGCCTGAACTGAAGCACTGCTCTCAGTCTGACCGGAGCTTAGCACGGATTTTAGAGGCGAAGGCACCACAGACAGGTCCGTTCACAGCACCCATCGCAGAGAGGTGATCCTGGCGTTACGTGAGTGCCACTGGGCCAGGGGAGCTCCAGCAGGGTGCAGCTGTGTCTGGCAAGAGAGATGACTCCTGGAAGTGCCGCAGTTACGCACACGATGGACAAGCTCCCTCCATCACTCAGTGGAATTGCTGTGTTTCAATATTTAGGGATCACCCTCCCCCTGTGCACTCTCCTGCTAAAGCAAAATGCCCAAACACATCAGCGTTACCACTGCTTTACCAATGCTGGAGTGTAATTTGTTTGCAAGCTGAAGGTACCGTTTCTTAACAACCAAATTTTACTGCCTCCAGGCCTTTAACAACTTGCACATGGCCAAGAAGAGTAAGATAGCAACATGGAAGAAACATTTTAGTACTTGAAAATTTTATTTTTCTCAAATGAGCACCAACACATATTGTAAATATGACAAACAATACGCCTCCCTCTAATACTGAAGAACTATATACAATGTACAAATACATGAAAAGGTGAAAACCAATTATTTGAAAACAATTGCATTTATTACTGAAGCAAATGACCTGAAGAAATATGCCAAAAATAAAATTAAAATAAGATCAAAGAAATAAAAGTATACACAATCTGTAAACACAAGAGCATCAATAGACAGGCTGGTATTGGAAATATTCTCCTTTAGTTTTGTCAGTGGGGAAAGCATTCCCATTTCCTTACGAGAAACAAAACAAAGGATACATACAGTTCGTAACTATGAGAATAGCTTATTTGTGATTTTACCACACACAATGCCATTCTGCTTGCATTTAAATATGTTGATTTCTTTTTTTTGAGTTCAGTATGATTTTATTCCCCTCTTCTGCTTATTCTTTTTGAACATGATTCTTCCAAACCCATGCCTAACGCTATTGTTTCTGAGCATTGAACTTCTGAGGCCTCTCACCTGGTGAGAAGAGCTCCTTCCCACTGAGCTGAGCTCCGGTTCTTGCACATCTGCTCGCCCCCCGGTGCCTGGGGTCATCGGCTCACCCAGAACTGGTTCACACCGAAGCACGATGCTCCTCCCGAAACAAGGAAGTGCAGTGAAATGCATGATTAATACACTCACATACCAGTTAGAAAAATGCATACAGAGAAAATTCTCACATGATCATCACAAGAACAACAAATTTCAGTTGCAGGTTGTTGGTTTTTTTCTGTATATTTTTAAATCGTGTGCACCAAAACCAGAGAATCAGAGAGCGTGCAACAGTTATTCAGCACTGAAAACAGCTCCTTGCTCAGCAAAACACAGTCCAGTGGTTGTGCTGTTGGTCCACTTCAGGATAAACAAGAGACCCAATGAATTAAAAACGAAGAGCGGGGAGCAGGGGGGAGGTCAAAGACAGAAAGGAAAACAACAACAACAAAAAAGAACTTTACTGCCAGAGAGGTAAACTTCTTACTCTAATTTGTTGTGTAGCAGCCTGGTTTAAAAACAAACAAACACACAAACAAAAAACCCCAAAGAAAACCAGGATCCGTGTCCAAAGACTTCATGTTTTAGTTTAAAAACAATGACTCATCAGAAACCTCCACCCTCCGTCCCTGCCGCCTCCAAGCGAGTGGAAGCAGCGATTCGGAGCCTGCAGCTTGTATCCACTCCTGTTTTCTAACGCCTCGGGGTCTACTTCACTCCAGCCAATACTGGTGCAAGGGGAGATCCGCGACACCGACAGGATGGGATTTCGGCACGCGAGCGACTCCGGACGCTGGTGCCAGGAGCCAGGCCCCATCCTGCCCGTGGCAGCAGGAGCTGAGCCCTGCCACGTCCAGGGGGAAACGGCATCGACTCAAGAGGACATCTACTGTGATTTTTGTTTCCCTTTCGACAATGTTTTCCAACAAATACAGAAGGAAACAGTATCATCTATAAACAACAAACAAAGTGCTCTCAGGGAGGGGCTCTGAGAAAACAGCACCAAATATATTATTTCTTTAAAAAAATTAAATATTATTTACAAAAGTATATCTCACAAGATAATGTGTTTGTTTTTTTTTTTTCCTTTTTTTTTTTTTTTTCTGTTTTGTATATATTATCATCTGAATATTTATTACAGGGACCAGGATTTCACGCCAGATAATCCACCAGAGCACAAGAAATTTAAAACTGACTGAAGTCTGAGCTTTGGGGTAGCCTGGGGTGATGTAAACTCAAGGGCGCTCGCAGCTTGCCAGAGACGGGGCTGCCACGTGGAGAGGGGCAGAAGTGGCTGCTCCGGGGGGTTTCGGAGCCCCAGGAAGCAGCACTGCCAGCGCTCGGTGCCCGAGGAGGCGATTTCTGTGGCCACATCTCTGGCTCGGAGACAAAAGTCCCACCCTGATGTGCCCAGACGGGAAGGACCTGGCTACAGCTGGCTCACACGCCAGGGGGATGCAGACAGCGAGGGTCTTTGGTTATGCTCTGAACACGCAGCTCTACAAATCATCGATTTGGGCCGTGCTGTGACACCCACCAGCACACAGACCTCACCGTCCCGCTGCTCACCAGCCTCCTGCATCGTCTTGTGTCTACCTCAGCACGTGGCAGGGGATGAGCAGCCCAGGAAGGACTTCACAGCTGGTGGATGCACAGCAGAGAACAAGCCTCTAACGAGCCTCGCAGGGCAGTTTTTTCTTATCTCCCTGAAAAGTCGGACTAGAGATAACTCTGCGCCGCGTGCGCTCACAGGCACACACGTTTTTTCGCATCAGGACTTGAGGCCAGATTCTCAGCAACTGTAAATCTGTGGATGCTGATGAGACAAAGCCAATTAAAAGCAGATTAAGATCTTGCCATACTCAAGCTGAGACCGGTTGCCATTAAAAGTGTAACCCCTGTGAACAGTTAAAAACAGCCTGATCTGATTTAACATCATCCTTTCTTGTCCCAAATATAGGGACAAAAACATTTCTATCTGGGATCTTTGCTATAGGTGATCGCTATCGCCTACGTGGTTTTGTTTTTATGTTTTTATCAACATAAAATCAAGAGCTTGGGCATGGTTTTGTTTATTTTTTTTTTTTTATAACCTCATACTAATAATTTGGGGTTATCTCTTACTTCTCCCAGGTACAAACAGACCCCTTTAAATGCTGTGTGTCTGGGGGAACCAAGAGCTCTTCAAAGAATATGAATTACTTCTCACTAGCCCAAACCCAATAAATTGTCCTGGATCAATCACCAAGGGACAGCAAAGTGGGACCAGGCCAGTGCCAGCGTCACCACGCAGGTGGGCACTGCACAGGTTTTGATTTTTCCAAGATTTTTGTCACTTACAGGAACGTGGATGATGGAAGCAGAGACAATCAGAAATGAAAGCTGAAGCTACGCAGCCACAACAGAAAGGCCAAAGGCCCACAAAGCGAGCTACTTCCACCCACTGCAGGAGCTGCAGCCAACCTCCGCTGCCTTCCCTCTGCGAGCTGTACCAACGCCCTGCCACAAGGCTCATGAGAACAAACAGCCTCTGCTTCGATGGGCCCTTGGGTTTGGGCTTCAGCACAAGGATCCGATGTGTGAAGTTGGATCCCGATGCCAAGCAGCATCTCTGCTCACATCCCCTTCGTTTAACAGCGAGTTATTTTGTGGCCAGCCCCTCCGCCCTGATCCCCAGCTCAGAGATCCTGGGGGTGGGGGCAAGCGACAGGAGATTACAGCGCCGGAGCTTGGGTTTCGTAAGGAGTTACAAACCCCCACACAATACTCTTTCCTTCTGGATTAAGAAAGATTTCCCCCCAGTGGATTAACCTACTTGAAAGAATTCCACAAACAAAAAGGAAATTCACTCAGAGAGATAAAACTAATTCAGTTAAATAGTCTTTGAGTTATGCACCAGATACTGGCTGGACTGTTGCAGAGCAAACTTCACATTGGCTTATGCCTAACGCAGCTCCCCTCTCGCACACGATGCTCCTTCCCCACCAGCCACCTCGGGAAGGTCCACACTGATTAAAAGGAAAAAAAAATAAAACAAGAAGGGCTTGTCCCTTGCACTTACCACATCCACATCCACCCCTCCCATTTGAACTCCAAGCACAGACAACTCCAGGGGGCAGATATTTGAGTTCTTTTTTCTTTCCCATCTCCCCTGTACCTCCTACAGGCTTCTGGGAGTGGGAAAAGGGGGGAAGGTTTTGGGGGGGATACCTCATGGCTTGAAATATCCACCTGTGCAATACTGCTACAACTGTCGGGGTCCTCTGCTCCCTCCTCTCTCCACTCTCACATCATTTCTCTGACAGGCTCCAAGAGCAGAGCCGATGGCTGGGGCCTGGGATTTAAGAAGAAGATACTCATAGCAGCATTTTCCTGCTTGCATTTGTGAACCACTGGTAAAAGACCTCCAAGGAGGTTCAGCGGAGGCTCAGAAGTCAAGGGGTACCCTGCCTTACTACGTTTGTCCCCATCCTCCCCTACCTAATTTCTTCTTTCTTGCCTAGCATGCGCCTTTTTTTTTTCCTGTTGTATTTTCTGAGCTGCAGTTCCAGCCTCCCTATGCCTGAAGTGGTTTTCTCCTCCTCTCTGAAGGGCTCAAGAGTCAGGATTTGGTTTCTCCAGCTGTGCTCGGTTGGGATGTTTGGCCTACCTCCTCTGCAACAGAGAGGAAAAGGAGAGGCGGGGAACCTCTCCAGCCTTCCTCCCCCCAACAACGAGTTCATGAACGGCAAACAAAACACAGATCCACAAGTAGCCTGCAGAGGGGAACTGCTCAGGACTTGTGCTCAGCCGGCTTAGACCAAAGCTCCCTCGGCGGAGCAGCGGTTTTACGATTCGGAGAGAACGCAGCCGTGAGGTATTTTTCTGTCCGTTTAGACAAGTAGATAGTTTCAAGCCTTGGTTAACCAGGACTTAAAGGAGAAGTTACAGCTTCGCTCCCGATGACTTCCCTGTGGGCCCACTCCCCACCCCCTATCACCTCCTCCTGCCCAAAACTCAGGTCTTCCTCCCGCACCGAGACCTGCTGCTAGCCTGCCACCACAGAGCCAACTTCAGTTTGTACGTAAGCATTCGTCAACATGGAATGGCTGTCGGGCATTCGGTGCATTCTCTTAGCCAACGCCAGAACAGAGAGAGAAGCAGCCAGGGTCAACTCACAAACAGATACAAAGCAAAGAGACAGAGAGACAGAAATTTAGAGGCCAGTCACCAATAAAGATGGAGAAGGGTGTGAAGATGCTCCCAGATTGCAGAGCCTCTAAATGCATGGAACCAAGCGTTCAGTCACTCTCTCACTCTTGGATATAATGTTCGGTTGGATGGCATTCTCTTACACGCTGGTAGGGCTGGGCTCTTCCCATTCAATCCCAGCCGTTATCCTTGATCATGTGAGCTAGTTCAATGATGTATTTGCCTTCTTTATACTTCTGGCTGCTTTCAAAAGCGTGTTCCTGAAAAAAGGAGAAAGAAAGAGATCGATAAGGAAGGTAAAGTCACGGTTACAGATCCCAGGATGCTGGTCCAACCCCTACAGTTCTGTGATTCCATGATTTCGGTTGTACCCTCCAAGGCAGTTCAGCTGCGTGCCTGGAACGCATCAGCGAGGCTGTGATTCTGCTGCAGGAGAGACCTGAGCTCACCGCTCCGTTTATGAAATTCCGTGTTTTGTTCCACAATAAACTCCATTTATGTACTTAGTGTCCTTCTCCATTTGTGAGATCCATGCTGTGCTTCTGTATGGATTCCTACTGCATCAATTTTTGATGCTGTACTTTTTATAGCCTTTTAACTGGCTTTTAAAGAGTATTTCTGTCCAGAGACCACAGACACAATAAATGTTTTGTTTAGATACTGCTCGAAATGTTTTGACAAACAAGTACGCTGCGTGCCTCCTGAAGCAGAAATGAGAACGTAGCACAAGGCTTTATTTGAAGGTAATTGAATTTATAGAGAGCAAGAGACAGCAAACAGATCAAGCCGTGTTCAATAGCATTTCCAGTGGGAAGGACACAGGACCAGCGCTGGACGGATCACTCCATTATTCTGAGAGGGTCTGGGAAAAAAGACAACATGAACCACAGAACTGACTGAATTTTATGTTGTGTGTCACCAAGGGACACCCACCAAAACCAAGCCTGCGGTACCTGCTCTTAGTAAGGCAACACAATAGCCACAGAGAGCTCATGCTCTAAATGGAGAAAACAAACGAAGGACAGGAGTGAAAACGGGAATGCAGAAAGGACGAGAAGATGTGGCTGCAGCCCAGGATCCACATTTCTGGTTCCCAAGTCAACGTTTGTCCCCCAGGACCATGTTATGCCACACACACACCTTCACAAAGGGCTGGAGGGAAGACAGTCCCAGGAAAGCCAAACCGTACTGATACTCACATATTTCCAACCCAGTGTGGTTTTGCAGTTTTCACAGTAAATGTCTGCAACCGCATGTAATCCTGTTAATAACACCCGCTCCTCTGCGGGGCCACAGCCCACGTTAACTCTGGAAGAAAGGAGAGAAGCTCTCTGTTAGTGCATCTTCCACTGCACGTCACTACAACGAAGCTGACGGCAACTTTATTGCAGTATTTGAGAACGTAAGCAGGAAATTGAGAATACCGAGTCCCGCAGCTGCTCCGGAACAAAGACCTCTTGCAGCTCCAGATCAGAATGAAAAGGTAAAATGGAGTTTTTGTTCGACTGAAAATTCTACAAAGTTTTGAAAGGAAGATTAATAACGCAGTAGTAAATTGCGCTAATGATGCATTTGAGAAAGATTTTCATTTTCAAATTGCTAAAATTGTAACTTTTACTTTCCCAAATGGAACTTGGGGAAATGGAACTGAAATCAGCACTTCTTCTGAAAGACATCCCAGCAGCGATCATACCCAAATGATTTTCAGTGACTGGGAAAATTATAGTCAGTTTTTATGCTAGCTCTAAAATTCACATTCAGACATTACATACTCTCTGCATTTATAAAACCTGGGCTCTTCGGCTCAACTGTGTTCTCTAAGAAGAGAATGAGTCATGTTAGCTCTAATTCCTCAATCTGATGATGAAAAAAACCCACCTCTTCCTAGCTGCTTATCTGAAACTTGAACATAAAATCAAACACGAATCAGTGCTATTTCTTGCCTCCTTCTCCAACCACTTCCAGCAAGCTCCCAAATCTTAGAGGTTTCCTAAAATAAAGGTTTTCTGTACGTCTTCATGAGGGTTTTCTTAAATCTACCCCAAGAGACGCGGAGCTGACCCCATGGAGCGGTACTCACACTGAATTGAAGAGGTACGCTCGTCCTTGGCTTCCTTGGAAGGACTGAAAGGCAAGAAAACAAAATTCAGCCAGCTGCCAGGACTAAGGCTAAAGCAGGAGCTACTCTCAGCAGCTGCATTAACGGCCTCAGACGGTCAGGGCCTGAAACCCACATCGGTACGGGCTTCAGGATGGGAACCCCGAGAGCCAAACGAGAGCCGGCTAACAGAGGGCTTGTCCTGAGCGTGGAAAGGGAACGGCTGCAGCATTTACAGCACTGTGCAAGCCCTGCCTGCTTTCAAGTTACGAAGTCAAGCTTTTTGCCCTCTTACATGCCAGCAATGCCGACGTTCCCCCTTCCAGGTCCATTTACGAATTTCACACTCCTGCCTCATCCTTACCCAGCGCGGCCTCGCTGCCAAATATCAATCTCACCCACTTCCAAACAACAGCACGCTCACGTTTTCAGCTTGAAGCACTGCCGTGGGGCTCGATGGCAGGCGAGGTACCCTTGGGAAGACTGTGGGTGCGCGCTGGACCCCGCTGCGAGATCGGGAGCTGTCGGTGCGAGGTGCCCAGCAGAAGAATGCTCTGTGTCCTGGAGGAATTGCTGCTTTATCCCTTTAACCCTCCTGCAGTGCCCAGACGCTGTGCTGCTGGGGGGAACAGCACAGGGCTGAGCCCCCCCAGGGCAGGAGGAAGGGGCCAGGCAGGGCCCTGCCCTGCTACAGAGCAAACAGGGCAACAGCGGGGGCACCGGCACTGCCCGCTGCAGGAGGGGGCCGAGCCTGGAAGGAGGGGATGTGGGGGGCACAGGGGGAGGCACTGGGGGGAGAACGAAAGCAGATGGAGCCTGCTCGCCATCCAGGCCTCCCCAGTAAATCCTTTTCCATAAACACCAAAGGGACTGCGCCTGCCAGTAACAACAACCATGGGAGCGAAGCTTTTCTTGGTACAGAAATAGGATTTTCCATTACTGCTGCACAAAGGCCTGTCTTCAATAAACAACAAAACCAAACCCAGCAGCTTTGTGTCTGGGGCTCCCCAGATGCTCCCAGGGGGCAGCAGCATCCGTGCCCTTCCCTCCAGCTCAAGCCAGGGCTTTTGGGCACCTAAGGGAGGTCACAGCACAAGAAAAAAATCAGACTGGTTATCTGCTGCCCCAGCAGGACTCCTCAACACGCCACCGCTCAGCTTGCAGAGCTGCTGCCTGCCTCAATACCCGCCCTGCAGCCAGCTGAGGGTTTGGCAAATCACAAAAAAGAAGCGAGGAAGGTCTGGCAGCCACCTCAGCTTCACTAACGCATCTGCTGTCCGCAGGCCCCAGCTGACAACATCTTGGTAAACACAGCACAGGCAGGGTGCACCTCGGTGCTGTACCCTCAGCGTTTCTGGAGGTGTTCCTTCTCTGCTGGGACTCCAGAAAAACCGGCACGTGCTGCAATGGGCGCTTTGAAACCAGGAGAAATGGATCCGTTTTTACACGAGCAGATGTCCTTTTGTGCTGTTGTTTTTTTGGTTTTGTCTCAAAGATGCACGCAGGAAGATTTCCACAGCACCCCTGTGTTCCCTGAGCAGCGACAGCCAGCAGCAGCCCTGCCTCCTGTGCCGTGTGTTTTATTTGTGTGTTGTTTTTGATGCACAGAGGTGCACGCGTGCATTCAAATACCGACTTCAGACTCTCTAAAGCAGCAGCTCCTGGCACCACTTCCCAGCTGAAAGAAACGGAAAGCATTTTTTTGTTGTTTCCCGCTGGAAGCCCAAGCACATATTTTTCTCTGCACTGCTGGTGCTGAATGCCTGGCTGGAAACACACCCGTACACGCCAGCAACAAGACTCCCTCCCCATCCTCCCTGAGCCTTCTCAAACACAATGCAAGCTTCTGGGATGCGCCACACACAGCAGCTTACTCCTCCCGAGTGCTCGCACTCAAACCCCTTCCTGCTCCTCCCCGAGGAGCTGCAGGGCTGGAGGAGCACTGCTCTGAGCACCCAGGTGGGAACCACGAGCCTGGAGCTGCGGATCCTCCCCTGCCACGCTGCATCTCCTTAGGGCAGAAGCTCCACGTTAAGGTGCCTTTGGGGGCTGCTGTGGATGAACAAGCTCCTACCACCCAATTTATTTACTCAGAGCCCCTCAGCCATGCTGGTTGCATACAGGATCTGTGAAAGCACACCTCTGAGCCTTGTGTTCCTGCTTCTGGAGACACACGGGGGGGCTGAGCCCCACACGCGGTCCCTGTTCCCCCAGTACCTGCAGCTCCCCATTCAGCCTGCGGCCCACTCAGCAGTTCCACGGAGCAAGCAGATGACAGGATTAATATCCCAAGTCTTTGTGATGGCATTCGACAATAGGCCGAACACAAAAAGAGCTGGCTGGAATCATCTGGAAAAGCAGGCAGCCGCTGCCAGGACGAAATGGCTCCGCACTGATGTTCCTCTGCAGAACGCTGCCGCTTACCTACATCCAGCTGGCAGCCTCTTACCAGGGCAATAAAACAAAAACGAAACAGCAACTGGTCCCCGAGAGGGAAGAAGGAACACAGCGTGCCCCTCCGAGCTGCACTGGTGAGAGCTACAAATAATCCTCGCTGCGAGAACATCAACAGGGACCGAGAGCCTGGAGGATCTGCCCGGGCTCAGCAGCAGCTGGCACGTCCTGGGCGATGCCAACAGCACCAGGAGAGGTACAGCCATCCGAGCCCCTCGGCTAAGGGCCATGCCTGTGCTTGGGATGTCCCCATCGGGGCACAGCAACCCCTGAGCAACATCAGCAGCTCCCAGGTTTATGTCTGGGCGATCAGTCCGTGCAAGGATGCATCCAGAGCTCTGTTACTGCTTCCTTCCCACCTCGGTGTACGACTCGGTCCTGCTGATTTAGACCTTGAACTTCTGAGCATGACATTTCTGTTCTCATAAAACACAGTTTGAACATGGGGAGGAGACCTTTGGGTACACCCAAAGCACGACGGCAGCTCACCCAGAACGCACGCGAGTCTGCTACGAAGACGTGCTCCAAACCACAGGCTCTCTGAGCACGAGGAAATAAGGGTGGGAAACTCAGCAAAGCTCCAACACCAAGGAAACTGCAGTCTTTAAACCTGGCAATTCCTGTTTACGTTGTCAGGATTAAAAAAAAAAACACAACACAGCTGGGTCTTAAACCATGTTGGGTGCTGCAGAACACGGCGCAGGCACCAGTGCTCAGCCACACAGTGGGCACAGGGCGATGTCGTGCCCCAAACCACCCGCAGACGACCTTCCTCGCATGTCTCCCACTCTCTCCAGCACTTAATCCCAATTCCTGTCAGCTGCTATCCCAAGTAAAATGATTCTGATTTAAAAAAAAAAAAAGTCTTGCAGCGTGTTTATAGCAACCCCCACGCCCAGCAGCAGCACGCCCGATGGTATTTCCCAGAGGAGCACGAGCTCAATTTGTCGGTCCCTGTACCCACACAGGCTCCAGAGCTCCTCGGGGGTCGGTAATTCCTGCTGTCCCCAGGGAAGGGGCAGTCAATGATCAGATTTAAGCGAGTTCATCTTGCTCTGATTATGCCAGCTACGACCGGCGCCAAGGGAACCGCTCCCACTGCTCCACCCGGGCGCAGACGTGCCCTTCCCCTGCTCCAGCTGCCTTTCCGAGCTCTAATTGAGCTCTAACACGGGTCCTTAATGCTATGGAAAGCCCAACGTCGATACGGAATTAGCAGACCCAACTCATCTCTGAAGTAATTCAATTAGCTCAGCACGGCCTTACCCACCGCCAGCCCGCGCGGTGTGATGGATGAGTGAGGAGCGGCGAGCTCACCGTGGTGTGTCCTAGGGGCAGCCACGTCCCAGCAGCTTCGTGCTGTGCCTTGGGTCCTGCAGGCTGGGAGAAGGAAACTGCTGCACAGCCTGGGCAGCGTGCTGGAGCCACTGACCAGCTCTGTGCTGCGAAGCTGATAGCATCCAGCACAGACGTGGTCCTGAGCAGTGCACACACACCGCCTGCTTCTCCAGCGGCCAGAAACAATCCTCCAAGAAGAAAACCAGAAGAAGAGGGGACCATGCCATCACCACCAGCTGAAGCCTCGGTCAGACCTCCTCCAGGCCCTCTGCTGTGCTTTGAACCCGCGCTACGCTAGCCTCCCCATCCTCACAACGCTCTGCACAGCTTCACCTTCAGGCAAATTTAAGCAGCAAACCTAGTTTTTGGGGTGTGATTCTCTCATCTTTCCGTGTTTCTAGGAGATGGAGCTAAGAAAAGCCAGCGCTGCTCACCAGACGCCCAGCAGCACTGAGAACTGCAGGAGAAGGCTTGGAGCAGCTCTGCAGTGCTACGGCCACAGCCCCAGCTCTGCTTGGGAAGCTGGAACCCCCCCAGCACCCTGCAGACACCCTCTGCCACGAAACATCGTGCTGCCCATGGGAAGAGCTCTCCAACACACGTCAGCACACCACGAAGGTGACAGCAGTGCTCCAGCGGGGCTGCCTTGCTCCCAGGCAGGCTGTGAGAGGTGATTTAAGTGGGTGAGGATTCGGGAGCACCGTTCCCGGTTATTAATTCCTGTGTCAGCCCGACTGTCCATTATTACCAGGGGGAGAGCGAGAGACTTCTTTCAAAGGAAAATTTTCCATTGAAGCTGCAGAGGAAAGGAGAGATCCCTTATGGGGCTTTGCGGTAACGAAAACCAGGATTTAGGGGAAGACAAATGGCCAGGTTCGAGTTTTTTCCTCAAGTACAACGCCAATTTAAGCCATCAGTCTGCTAAGCTAAAGCCTGAACAAAGTTCTGTGAGGCATTTCAAGATTCAGAGAAGTATTTGCAAACTCCTCTGTCCCCTCCTGCCTCCAACACGCCTGGCAGGCTCCCCTGCAGCCCCTGACTCAGCTCAGACACAAGCTGCTACGGCCCAGAGGTATCGTGAGCCCTCTCTGTGCCTCCTGGATTCTGCTTTTATTTATTTTTAAATGTGTTTCTAGCCCACAGACTTCAAAGTGCAATTTCAAAATGTGAATGCTAAAGGCACAAACAACAGAAGGCAAATAAAAAGTACACTGAATTTATTACTTCTATAAAA